CAGCCGGGACTCGAACTAGCATCCCTATGGGATACCCGTACTGCAGGTGGTGGCTTTACCTGCTACACACAGCATTGGCCCCTTGTAAAGCATTTATAATTGGGACCAGCGTTATGGCACAGTGGGTGAAGCAATGCCAGCAATACCAGAATCCTGGACGGATGCCAGATCAAGACCCAACTGTTCCACTTCTGATCCTGCTCCCTGCTAATGTGCCTAGGAAAGCAGCAGATGAACCAAGTCCGTGGGTATCTGCACCAAGTGGGAGACCTGGATGAGTTCCAGGCTCTTGGCTTTGGCCTGACCCTGCCTTGGCTGTTGCAGCCAACTGAGGAGTGAACCAGTGGATGAAGATCTCTCTCTCTCTCTCTCTCTGCCTTTCAAATAAATAAAATTTGTAAAACAAAAAAAGACTAATGTGTACATATACTCATATATGAAGGGGCTTTACAAAGCTTGTGGAAAATGCATATTGCGAAAAACTATGGAAAAAAATTTTTAAATCTTGCACTAAAATAAATTTATCTTTTAATTCTATTTTCCACAAACTTTTCAAAATACCTCTGTGTTTATATTTATATTTATATATACATATGTGTATGTGTTCCTCAATTTCTATTTCATGGAACATTTTATCATGAATATATCTTGAGTTTCATCAATAGCTTTTTTACATCTGTGAAAAGAATGATATTTTTACTTAGATTTATTAATATTATATATTCTATGAATGAATTTCATCATGTTGAGCCAACTTTGAAGCTGCTCATGGTGTATATGTGTTTTTTTTTTTTTTTTTGACAGGCAGAGTGGACAGTGAGGGAGAGACAGACAGAGAGAAAGGTCTTCCTTTTTGCCATTGATTGACCTTCCAATGGCCGCCGCGCTGCGGCCGGTGCACTGCACTGATCCAAAGCCAGGAGCCAGGTGCTTCCTCCTGGTCTCCCATGGGGTGCAGGGCCCAAGCACTTGGCCCATCCTCCACTGCACTCCCAGGCCATAGCAGAGAGCTGGCCTGGAAGAGGGGCAACCGGGACAGAATCCGGCACCCCAACAGGGACTAGAACCTGGTATGCTGGCGCTGCAAGGTGGAGGATTAGCCTATTGAGCCACGGTGCCGGCCATATTATATTCTTAATGTAGTAGAATTCATTCTGTTTGGTGACATAAGAATTTTTGCCAGTGTTGTGGTGTAGTGGGTAGAGCTGCCTCCTGCAATGCCTGCATCCCAGTGAGCATTGGTTTTTGTCCTGGCTGCTTCATTTCTGATCCAGCTCCCTGCTAATGGCCTGGGAAAAGCAGCAGAAGATGGCCCAAGTGCTTGGGTCCTGCTACCCACATGGGAGACCTGGAAGAAGCTCCTGGATTTGGCCCGGTCCAGCCCTGGCCACTGTGGCCATCTGGGGAGTGAACCAGTGGATGGATGCTCTCTTTGTCTCTCCCTCACTCCCTGCAACTGTTTCAAATAAATAGATCTTTTTAAAAAAGAATTTTTGCATTTATATTCATAAGCTATATTGTCTGTATCTTTCTTCTATGCACTATCTTTATCTGGTTTAGGTATCAGAATTATATTTGCTTCCTTACATGAATTGAGGGGTTTTCTTTCTTTTGCAGTATTCTGGAACAATCTGTAGAGTACTGGAACTATAAGACTGAGAAATCAGTGGAATTTACCTGTGAATGCATCTGATGCCAGTGCTTTTCCGTGTGCAATTGCTTACCTTTCTCTATTTATCTCTAAGTTGATATTTTCAAATTTTCTACTTGTCATGGTTTCAGTTTGTGTTTTTTCTACATGCTTAGAAAACTGTCATCTTTATTCATTTGTTTAAAAAAAACTGAAGGATGAAAGAGAATGTTTAGCTTAGCATTGAAGATGCCAACTAATGTGCCTGCATCACACAGGAGAGTACCTGGGTTCAGTACTCAGCTCCTGACTCCACTTCCTGATAATGTAGACCCGAGGAGGAAATGGTAATGACTCAAATAGCTGGGTTCCTGTCAGCCACATTGGAGACCTGGATAGAATTCCCAGCTTCCTTCTTCAGACCAATTTGGGCATCCTGAGTGGACCAACAGATAGGCGCTCCCTCCTACTGCAAGTGTGTGTGCGTGTTTCTGACTTTTAAATAAACAAATAGACACTTTAAAAATTAGGGCAGTGTGGGGCCAGCGCTGTGGTGCAGCGGGTTAATGCCTTGGCCTGAAGCATCGGCATCCCATATGGGCGTCAGCATCCCATATGGGTGCCGGTTCAAGACCCGGCTGCTCCACTTCTGATCCAGCTCTCTGCTATGGCCTGGGAAAGCAGCAGAAGATGGTCCAAGTCCTTGGGCCCCTGCTCCCACGTGGGAGACCCGGAAGAAGCTCCTGGCTCCTGGCTTTGGATCGGCACAGCTCTGGCCATTGCAGCCAATTGGGGAGTGAACCATTGGATGGAAGACCTCTCTCTCTGCCTCTCCTCTCTCTGTGTAACTCTTTCAAATAAATAAATAAATACTTTTTTAAAAATTACAAAAAAAAAAAAAGCCTGCGCTGCGGCTCACTAGGCTAATCCTCCGCCTTGAGACGCTGGCACACCGGGTTCTAGTCCCAGTCGGGGCGCCGGATTCTGTCCCGGTTGCCCCTCTTCCAGGCCAGCTCTCTGCTGTGGCCCGGGAGTGCAGTGGAGGATGGCCCAAGTGCTTGGGCCCTGCACCCCATGGGAGACCAGGATAAGTACCTGGCTCCTGCCATCGGATCAGCGCAGTGCGCCGGCCGCAGTGCGCCGGCCACAGCGCGCCGGCTGTGGCGGCCATTGGAGGGTGAACCAACGGCAAAGGAAGACCTTTCTCTCTGTCTCTCTCTCTCACTATCCACTCTGCCTGTCAAAAAAAAATATATATATATATAAATGGCCAATAAATATAAATAAATGCTTAATATCACATCAGGAAAATGCAAATTAAAACCACAATGAGCTATCACCTCCCCCTGTGAGAATGGCTATGACCAAAAAGATAAGACATCAAGAAATGCTGGTGAGGATGTGGAGAAAGATGAACTCATAGACATTGCTGGTAGGATGCAAATTAGTGCAGTCACTGTGAAAGACGGTATGGACATATCTTCTAAAAACTGGAAACATAACTGCCATATGCTGTCTCTCCCTCTCTCTCTTTCTATCAACCTGCCTTTCAAACAAATAATTATGGGGGAGAAAAAAAGGAACTGCCATATGATCCGTCAATTCCACTACTGGGTATATACCCGAAATAAATGAACCTAGTGTATCAAAATCAGCATGTACCCGCACTCCCATGTGCTCCACACTATTATACTGTAGTGCTAACTCACAATTTTTGTTTTATAAATTTAAAATTAATAATAATAAAAAAGGAAAAGGAATCAGGTCCAACAATCCCACTAGTGGGTATATATCCAAAGGAAATGAAGCCAGTACATCAAAGTCATTATGACTCTCCCCCATCCTCCACAGCATTATTCACAATAACCAAGATATGGTATCAACCTAAGTGTGCATCAGTGGGTGAAGAGATTTTCAAAACTGCGGTATATACACATGCAGGGTCTTAGTCCACTCGTAGGAGGATGGACTGGGCCCGAGGAAAGGTAAGTGCGCCACTCGCCCATTCCCCAGCCTCCAGATCCCGGAGACCATCAGAGGCAGCGCAGAGCCAAGTCAAGCAGGGACTCGTTTATTTTCCACGTAACAGACTCTTTTATAGGACAAAACTGTAGAGTCACTGGGGCAGGGCATAAGGACCAACCAATCACTTAAAAGATCATTTGCGGGGCGATTTTCATAGGACTAGCCATATGTCTATACACTTGTTACTAGTTTTGTTGCCTCCCCTGATGTTGCATGGCCAATTAGCTTTGGTGGTAAACAACTTTGGATTCCGCCCACCTTACTTCCTCTGGGCACCATCTTTGAATTGCTTCGTGTAACTAATTGAATTGCTTCGTGTAACACATACACAGTGGAATACTATTTAACCTTTATAAAGAAAAAATTCTGACATTTGCTGCAAAAAGGATGAACCCAGAGGACATTGTGTTAAGTGAAGTAAATCAGGCACAGAAAGACAAATAGTGCATGATCTCACTTACATGTGAAATTTAAAAAGTTGAGCTCATAGAATTTGAGAGTAGAATACTGGTTATCAGAGGTTGGGTTGGAAGGGAAAGGGAATGGGTAAATATTGGCCAAAAGATACAGAATTTCAGATAGGAGGAATAAGCTCAAGAAATCTGTACAATATAAAGTTAATGATACATAGTTTTCTTAAACAAAAAACTGAAAATGTAGATTTTAAGTGTTCTCACCAAAATAAAAACTATTTGGGGTAAGACAGATGCTAATTCATCAATTTAGTCATTTCACAATATATATATATCAAAACATTATACTATACAAAAGCATATACAATTCTGTTAACTTTTGAAAGGCTTTTAAATTAAAGATATAGAAATGATTGCTAAGTCCCTCGCACACAGTAGGTGCTTCACAAACGGTGGATATTACACTTAACTAACGTTGTATTTCTGCCTGTGATCTCTGGTATTCGGTATTGTTATTTAGGTAATAGAATAATGTTTTTTTAAAATTGTTGGTAACATAATATTTAGTTTAAAATTGAGAAAAGGAAAATATAAAAACTAAGAGTTATTGTCACCTTTTAAGCAATTCAACTCTTACAGGTCTGTGATAGATTTTAAATCATGTTTGCAAGGTTTTTCTGTATCCGCTACCTAAAACGTGATTTTTTAAAAAATAAACATGAATCCACTTTTGTCTTTGTTTTTTAAAACCCACCTATGATGGCCTCAAAATCCGCTGTGTAAATCAGGAACCATGGAGGGCCGAGCCAGCCTGTGACATCCTGAGGAAGCCTGTTCATGGGGGCTCTCACGAGTCCCCCTCAGGGCTGCTCCCAGGGTCTCCTCCTGGGGAAGGGGACAGCCAGCACTTCCGGGTCAAACACGGGCACTTCCTCTTGCCCCGGCACCGCAGCGCCCCCTGCGGGCGGCCCCGCCTCAGCGAAGGGGAGCCGTTGAGCCCGCGTTCCTGGCGCGAACGCTATGAGGCCGAGCCGCGCCTCCCTGCTCGCCCTGTGCGTCCTCCTCTGCCTCCCCGGGGTCCAGCCTGGAGTCATGAGGAGAGCCGGTAGGGCCAGGAGCCGCGGGTGGCGCCGGGCTGGGGGGCAGGCGGCGCGGCCCGGGGCTCACCCCGCGGCGTTTCTCTGCAGCCGACCCGAAGCCCGGGTATTGCCCCGAGTTCTTCCCCGAGTGCCCGTTCACGCTGTTCCCTTCGTGCCGGCGCGATCAGGGCTGCAGGGGGGCCAAGAAGTGCTGCTTCTACCAGTGCCGGCGCCAGTGCATGGAGCCCTGGCTGTCGCTGGACTGAGGTGAGCAGCGCCGCCGCCCGCCCGCCCGCCGGCCGGACGGAACTCACAGCACCGGGAGGGAGGCCCGGGGGGCGCCGGCCCGCTCACCGGCTCACCGAGGGGCGCCAGGCCGCCCTCCGCAGGGCACCTGCCTCATCTGAGGTGGACCCTCGGCTGGCGTCCGGGAGCCCCTGCCCTCCGTCCCTGGAGCCCACAGCACCCCCAGGGCCCCGGGCGGGGAGGCCTCGCAGATCCCAGGCACAGTGGCCCGGGCTCGACGCCATGCCCCGGTGCCTCTGATCCTCTCTTCTCTCCTAAGGTGGAAACCCCTTGCCACGCGGGCCTGAGACGCTGGTGCTGCAGGCTCAGACGTGGACAGCTGGTCTCCGGTGCTTGGGTGCCCGCCCAGCGCCAGGACTTCAGTTTCTCAAGAGTTAAATGCTTGTTGATGTGGAAAATGAAACAGAGAAATAAAGCAGTGTGCATTAATTTGTTTCCTGTTGTCGTAACACAGTACCTGAAGCCGAGTACTTAATAGGGATTTATCTAGCTCACAATTCTGGAAGTTCAAGGGCATGGCACCGCAAGTGCTCAGCTCTGCTTAGAGCCTCGGGGCAGACGGCGTCACAGTGGCAAAACTTGTGCCAGAGTCAAGAGAGCGCTGGAAGAGGGATTCAGGCTCCCTTCAAAACCCCATTCTCCGGAGGAATCAGGCTCATGAGACTTGCATTGATTGTTTCCAATGAGGGCACCTGTAGTTTTGGATGCAATGTTTTGTTCTGTTTTAAAGATTTATTTATTTATTTATTTGAAAGGCAGAGTTACAGAGAAGCAGAGGCAAAGAAAGAGTCTTCTATCCGCTGGTTCACTCCCCAGATGGCCGCAGTGGCCGGAGCCGAGCTGATCTGAAGGCAGGAACCAGGAGCTTCTTCCAGATATCCTATGTGGGTATAGGGGCCCAAGGACTTGGGCCATCTTCTGCTGTTTTCCCAGGCACATTAGCAGGGAGCTGGATCAAAATTAGAACAGCCAGGAATTGAACCCACACTCATATGGGGATGCCAGTACTGCAGGCAGAAATGTAACCTGCTACACCACAGCACTGGCCCCAAGATTTCATTATTATTATTTAGGTGTGGCGAGGCCGACACATCTGGAGATGACAGCTGCTGGAAAGACAGTATGTCCTCACAGATCTCAAGAGGAGTATGGTGCACCTTGCCATTAGGAGCCACCTAGAGAAGCACCTCTGTCAGTCAGGAGGTAGCATTTAGGGAAGGGGGTAATAGCCCTGAGTGTAAGCGTTCAATAAAAGAGGCGGTTGGAGGTATGCATGCTGGAATTACAGATAATAGATAGATTGTAGATAATCAATCATCTCAGTAGGAACTCACCAACTTAAGCCTTAGCTTAGACTGTCACACCTCTGTGATTCTATAGGCAGGAAATAGGCTGACAGAGCTGTTGGGCTTAGAATATGTTTGATCCTTGAAGAAAAGCGAAGAATGACCCTGAGATTGGTTGTAGGACAAGAGGTCTGCCTTGCCACCACCAGCCCAGAGGGCACAGACCCACAGGGAAGAGACACTGTATCCTTGATTCCAGAGAGTGAGGCTAACACCTCATTTACCAACAGCAGGGTCATCACTGTGATGGGTCCAGGGGGTGAGACCATCAGCTATGGGGGTCAAGAGGATAGATCATGGATTCTCAATCCTTAAAACCCAATGGAATTTGCCCTACTGAGTTCTAGATTGCTTGAGATGCTGAGTCCTTTTTTCCTTCCAATTTCTCCTTTTAAGAAGTGGTATATCGGGCCGGCGCCGCGGCTCAATAGGCTAACCCTCCACCTAGCGGCACCGGCACACCGGGTTCTAGTCCCAGTCGGGGCGCCGGATTCTTTCCCGGTTGCCCCTCTTCCAGGCCAGCTCTCTGCTGTGGCCAGGGAGTGCAGTGGAGGATGGCCCAAGTGCTTGGGCCCTGCACCCCATGGGAGACCAGGAGAAGCACCTGGCTCCTGCCTTCGGATCAGCGCGGTATGCCGGCCACAGCGCACCAGCCATGGCGGCCATTGGAGGGTGAACCAACGGCAAAGGAAGACTTTTCTCTCTGTCTCTCTCTCTATCTACTCTGCCTGTCAAAAAAAAAAAAAAAAAAAAAAAAAAAAGAAGTGGTATATCTATTCTGTATTTATCCCACCATTGGATTTTAGAAGTAGATAATGTGGCTGCTTTCACAGGTTCACAGCTGGAGAGTAATTTTCCCAGGATTGGCCAAACGCAGAGTATCTTTCCTTTTCTAGATGATAGTAACTGAGCTCTTCAACTTAGAGTTGATTATGAAATGGGGATGTTGGGATGGAGTAACATTTTATATGTGGGAAAGATATAAATTTGGGGAGGCTACCAGGTGAATTATTATGGATTGAATTGGGTCACCTCCCAAAAACATACGTTCAATCCCAATGTCCAGACCTCAGAATGTGACCTTATTGGTAAATATGGTTCTTTCAGGTATAATTAGTTAATATGAGATCATACCAGATAAGGTTATGCCTTTAATCCATTATGAGGGCAATAAGAATGCCGTAAAGGACAGACACACACAGCAAATCCATGTGAAGAAGAAGGATTGGAGCAACACAGCAGAAAGCCAAGACTATCCTGGGTCAGGCCACCTCCATGAGTTTAGGCTCCAGACTCACACCAGAAGATCCAGGCACAAACTCATCCCATTGACCATCTAGCTCCTACAGACTCAGGATCAAGGCCCATCCATTACCAGGTCACTACCTGTTGACTCAGGCTCCAGGCTGTTCCCTGTGAATATAGGCCCAACTCTCAACCCCACATACCCAAGTACCAGGCCCACCTACTCTGAACAGATTGGTGATGGGTTGTACCACACAAAGCCAGTCTTAACAGCCCCAACTTCTTCAAATGCATATAGATATCAACTTAGGGCAAAAAGAAATAATTTAAAAAATGAGATATAACAACACCAAAATACCCACAATAATATCCCAGTAGCTGACCCAGAAGAAAGCAGAAATACAAACTGCCGGGAAAAAAATCAAAATAATTATTTATAGGGAAGCTCAGTGAACTTAAAAAAATACAGAGAAACAATTCACAAAATCATGAAAATAATAAACAAAACTATAAATTTTAAAGAGAGATTGATTTTTTAGAAATAAAATACAGGGCCAGTGCTGTGGCATAGCAGGTAAAGCTGCTGCCTGCTCTGCCAGAATTCCATACGGGTGCCATTTCAAGTCCTGGCTGATCCACTTCTGATCCAGCTCTCTGCTACAGCCTGGGAAAGCAGTAGAAGATGGTCCAAGTCCTTGGGCCCCACACCCTCATGGAAGACCTGGAAGAAGTTCCTTGCTCCTGGCTTTGGATCAGTGTAGCTCTGGCCATTGCAGCCCTTTGGGGAGTGAACCAGTGGATGGATGACTTCTCTCTCTCTGCCTCTCCTTCTCTGTGTAACTCTGACTTCCAAATAAATAGTAAATCTTAAAAAAAAAATCCAGCAGAAATTCTAGAGCTGAAAAGCACAATGAATGAAATGAAAAATATAATAGAAACCATCAACAATCTAATCAATCAAGCAGAAGAAAAAATCTGGATTTGGATGTTTTTTGAAAAATATAGTCAGCAGAGAAAAAGAAAAAGAACTAAAAGAAATGAAGAAAGCTAGTGAGATTTCTGGAACAATATCAAAAAAGCAAATATCCAAGTCTTAGGAGTTAAAGAAGACAAAGGATCAAAACTGTACTTAAAGAAAAAAAGGCAGAAAGCCTTTCCAAATATAGGGAAAGATATAAATATTCAGATATATAAAGGTCAAGGGGACCAGCGCTGTGGCATAGTGAGTAAAGACACCACCTGCAGTTCCATCATGTCATATGGTAGCCGGTTCAAGTCCTAGCTGCTCCACTTCCAATCTAGCTCTCTGCTATGCCTGGGAAATCAGTGGAAGATGGCCCAAGTCCTTGAGCCACTGCACCTACCTGGGAGACCTGGAGGAGGCTCTGAGCTTCTAGCTTCAGATTGGCCCAGCTCCAGCCATTGCAGCCATTTGGGGAGCAAGCCAGCGGATGGAAGATTTCTCTGTCTCTCTCTGCCTCTACCTCTGTAACGCTGCCTTTCAAATAAATAAGTAAATATTTTAAAAAATAATAAAAAATAAAATAAAAACCAGAAAGGTCAAAAGATTATTTGAAGATATAAACAAAGTTAAAATCAATGAGAAAGATCTTGAAAGAGAAAAAGCCAATCACATAGAAGGGAGTTACAATAAGGCTACTATAAGGTGTGGGCTTTTAGCACAATTAGATTCCCACTAGAGACACACACATCCCATATTGCAGTATTTGCTTCAAGTCCTGGCTGCTTTGTTCTGATACTGCATCCTGCTAATGCACACCTTGGGAGGCAGCAGCTGATGACTTAAGTACTTGGGTCCCTGACACCCACATGAGAAACTTAGGCGAGGGGTCAAATTAGTCAAGTTCTCTTAACAGAAAATAGAATGGTGGTTTTCAGGGCTGTGGGGAAGGAAGATGAGGAGCTGCTCCTCAGTGTGTACAAAATTTCAGTCGTGCAAGATGGAAAAGTCCTAGAGACCTGCTGGGCGGTTGTGCCGTGCACTGCCATACGTGTTCTGGGGGTATGTCTCATGGTACACGTTTCTTACCACAGTAAAAAAGTGTTGCGCAAAACACAGAAACCACAAAAGAATGTTTAGAGCACAACTGTGCTTCTGTGAAGTTCAACAGCACGCGAACCTGAAGAGGCCACAGAGTGAGAGTGACACATGAGAATGGTGAACAGAGGCTGGTGCCGTGGCTCACTAGGCTAATCCTCCGCCTTGCAGCACCAGCACACCGGGTTCTAGTCCCAGTCGGAGCACCGGATTCTGTCCCGGTTGCCCCTCTTCCAGGCCAGCTCTCTGCTGTGGCCAGGGAATGCAGTGGAGGATGGCCCAAGTACTTGGGCCCTGCACCCCATGGGAGATCAGGAGAAGTACCTGGCTCCTGCCTTCAGATCAGTGCGGTGCAATGGCCACAGCGCGGCGGCCATTGGAGGGTGAACCAACGGCAAAAGGAAGACCTTTCTCTCTGTCTCTCTCTCTCACTGTCCACTCTGCCTGTCGAAAAAAAAAAAAAAAAAGAAGAGAATGGTGAACAGAAAGTTCAAGATAGTGGTCACTTCTGAAGCAGTGACGCTAAGGTTTGGTTCTAAATTTGTAGGTTCAGCAATGCTTATTTTAACTGCATACAGAACGTTTATCACAGTCTTTCATATGTAGAATTTACAAGGGTTTTTAAAACAAAGAAATAGCAACAAAAATCAGCTGCCAATTTGTGGGGATGATTAGGGAAGCTTAATTATGAACTGGCTGGGAAAGGCACACAGGTCTTACAGCCGTATGATTGGATACGATAATGGCAACATGTCCTGATTCTTAGAGCCTGCATACTGATCCATTAGGAAGAAGGGATAAGGGGTCGGCGCCGTGGCTCACTTGGTTAATCCTCCACCTGTGGTGCCAGCATCCCCTAAGGGCACCGGGTTCTAGTCCCAGTTGCTCCTCTTCCAGTCTAGCTCTCTGCTGTGGCCCGGGAAGGCAGTGGAGGATGGCCCAAGTGCTTGGGCCCCAGCACCCACATGGGAGACCAGGAAGAGGCAACTGGCTCCTGGCTTCAGATCGGCATAGCTCTGGCTGTTGCGGACATTTTGGGGGTGAACCATCAAATGGAAGACCTTTCTTTCTGTCTCTCTGTCTCTCAACGTCTGCACTCTGTCAAATAAATAAATAAAAAATCTTTAAAAAAAAAAAAAAGACGTAACATATGCAATTTACTTTCAAATATTTCAACAAATACAGATATCCCAAGCTGTTAATAATTTTAAATAATAATAGATAATTTTCAAATACAAATGTTAAATACACAGCTGCCATAGTTCTGTTCTTTCAACTTTTCTGGAGGTTTAAAAACTTCATAATAGGGCCAGCATTGGGCCCAGTGGGTTAAGCCACCACCTGCAATGCCAGCATCCCATACAGGCACTGGTTCATGTCCTGGTTGCACCACTTCCCAATCAAGCTCTCTGCTAATGCACCTGGAAAAGCAGAAGATGGCCCAAGTACTTGGGCCCCTGCCACCAACATGAGAGACCCAGATGGAGTTCCAGGCTCCTGGTTTCAGCCTTTGGCCTGTCCTAGCTCCAGCTGTTGAGTGAACCAACAGATGGAAGATTCTCTCTCTCTCTCTCTCTCTCTCTCTCTCTCTCTCTCTTCCTTCCTCTCTCCCTCCCTCCTCCCCCATTCTCTGTAACTACTTTTCAAATACATAGTCTTGTTTCATAAAGTTCATGGGAAAACATGGAATGGCAAGTTTTATTTTTAAAAGCTTCCTAATAAAAAGCCAGAGGAAGAAACGGCCAAGACACCTCAACATTCTACCATTTGTTCTTTAACCCCCAGGCTACAGACCTGCCACACAGATGATCTGAGCACAAGCAACCAACTGGTAAGATGGTAACCACAGCTTTGCCACCCAACAAGGACTTGGTGCTCTTCTCGGAATGGAGGGATCCCCTCTGCCTCTACCTGACCTCAACTCAGTCCCTTACACCCTTTAGGATGGGAAAATCCCCAATCCCACTCTCTGTACTATTTGGTAGCAAATTCCCCAAATCCAACTCAGACCAGCCCAAGCAGAATGGTGAGTTCCACTGGGTGGCTTATAACCATAAGTTACAGGTGGGCTGATATCATGAAAAAGGGGGTAAGGACTCATTTCCTCAAAAATACTGTCCACCTCTCAGCTCCTCTCACTATCACAGATTTCTCTCCTCAGAACCTACTTCTCACCCAATGTCTGCAGTTACTGGGTTTGTATCTGCAACATTTCCAAAGCCAAAAGACTTTCCAAAGGACTCCAAAAATTTGGTGCCACCCCCCCCCCACACACACACTCACACATCCATGTCTCTCCTCCCAAAGGAAATCCCAAATCCAGTAATCGAGAAAATGGATTAAAAATCCTGGAGGGAGGGGCCTTGAGGAAGTCCAGGATGAGAGACAGAAATGACAGCGGCTTCTGGGTTTTTTGATTTTTTTTTTCCAGGAAAAAAAGTTCGTGGGGCATGCATTTGGCCTAGCAGTTAGAACACTGGGATGTCTGTGTTCCTTATCAGAGTGCCTGTGTAATATGTAATTAGGGGGAAAAAATCACCCATAAATTTTTCCTCCAAAATAAATCTGCCAAGGTGTTAGAATTCCAAAAGTAACGTGAGGCCACACAAGACAGGGCCCCTCTTTTCCTGAGGGTTTAGAAGACAGCATGAAGCGATCTGGGTTAAACCCAAGGAAGAACTTTCTGGCTGCAAGGGTAGGGAGTCCTGGACTGGAATGGATGAAGCAAGCCACATGTCACCCTCCCTTCTCAATGCAGGTGACGATGAAGTACTGCTCTGCTTTCAACACCCAGGGACTGGGGCTGATGGGGAAGCAACGGCGGAAGTCGCAGCTGAGTCAGGAATCAGCTTCACACCCTGGGCCAGTCTCCACCCATCTCGGTTCACAATTTTCTCCTCTTTCAAACCAGAGGGCTGAGAGGTCAGACTCGCTCTCTTCCTATGCTGATGGAGCTTCTGTTTGGGGCCCCTTTGGACACTAAGCCTTCGCTGCCTCTCTTCCACCAACTGCAGAAGCCAACAGCAGAGGCCCCTGGACCATGTGATCTTTCTGCTCAGGATCCCTTGGGGTCAAGGAAGTGGTCCCAGTGGCCACTACAACTGCTATGGCCTGAGAGCTCAGCCAACCCAAAACCATGTTCCACCAACCACCACAGCCAAGCCAGGCTGGGCAGAGGGTGGTTCTCCCAGATGCCACAGGAGGTGACTTCAGCAAGGCAGGGCCAGACTCTCCCAGCCAGGGGATGCCAGGAGGAGACGCCAGGCCTGGCCTCACCCCTGTGCCAGCCTGGGCCTGCCTCCTCGGACAGGGAGCTCTGTCCCTAACCCTGATGCTGTTTCCCTCCCTAGGCATCCAGAACTCTGAAAACTGCCCTGCCATTTGACACTGACTTCTGTCCCCTGCCTAGGACATTGCTGGGGCTTTAGGATCTTAAAGTACATGACTCAACAACCTTCATCCTGTACACAGAAGAGAAAGACTGAAGGGCAAAGAGGGACAAGATGCGCCCGAGATCACAGTTAAGTTGGCTATGCAGAGTCAGCTACGCGGGCAGGACTTGATCCAAGCCATACCCCACCCCCACCCCCACCCCACCCTGTCTGCATATCCTGCACGGGCAGGATTTACTCGGAGGCCCTTGGGCAGGGGGTGGGGCTGAGATAAGTCAGGCACACGCATGCATGCAGGCCATGCATGCCCTCCTCCTGACTCAGTGGCTGTGACCTCCCTGAGCCTGTAGGTGTTAATTTGGGGCCCCTGGGCTCTGATCTTATTAGGTGCCGGCACAGAAACATGAGGATCTGCAGCGTCCTCCTGGTGGCCCTCCTGGCTCTGGGGAGCCAGCTGCCTGCTGCCTCTGGGCGGAAGAAGGGAGGTGAGTGCAGGTAGAACCCCTACTCCAAGAACAGTACCTCTTTGGGGGGGGGGGGTTTAGAGGAAGGCCGGCAGTGTGTGTGTGTGTGTGTGTGAGTGTGCACGTGTGTGTGTCTGCTTCCCAGCGCTTCCAGGAGCCTGTGGTTTTGTTTGTGCATCCTGGCACCTGTCCACCCACCTGCATCCTTCTCTGTAAATGTCTTCCCGCCAGTGTCTCAGGCTTGCCTGTGCCTGTCTATACATCTTGGCGGGGTGGGGTGGGGTGGTGAAGCCGTGCACCCGTCTCTGTGTATCGGCATGTCGCTGTGCCTGCTTGTCTCTGTGGCCTCCTAGCAATGGCAGCAGTCGTGTGTGTCTGAGCACGTGAACACAGAGCCCTGTGCCTCTGGGGACAGGGCCTGGGAGCTGTCCGGGTCTGCTGTTGCATGGCTGGTACCTGTGGAGCAGTGACTGGGTCTACTTGGCAGGTGCCATGAGCCTTCTCTGGCCCCAGCCCAACCTGTGGAGGGGCCTGGAGTTGAGTAGGGGTGTAGCTTCTGGCATCTGGGGTCTGTTGGGAGACACCCTGTTGCTCCCTTCCTCCAGTCTTCTGCCCCCATTCCCTCCCCCTGACAAGGCCGGGGCTGCCCTGCCGATGGACAGGTAAGGCCAGACAGGTGCCTCCCAGTCTGGGTGAGGCTGTGGCTTGTGTCCCCTTCTGGGGTTGGAATGCTTTGACCTACATTCACTGCACAGCCCTGGCCCCATTCACAGGAGGAAGTCAGCAACGTGGACAGGTCCTCCTTTTCCCTCTGACTCTGGGGAGCAGACTTCTACATATTCCCTGCCTTTGCCTTTCTCAGAAATAAGTTCCTGTCTAGATCATGAGCTGGTTTAGGGAGGAGGGGGCTCAGAGACCCCCAGGCCAAGAGAGGAAGGACACAGGTGAAGTCCAAGGCCAGGCCCTGTGTCGGCTGTGAGTCAGGCACCACCATGATAAGATGCCCTACTGTGACACAGGAGGCCAGGGCTATCTTTACACCCATGCTACAGATGAAGAAACTGAGGCACAGTGAGAAACCACTCGCCCAAGCCAAAGACCGACTCAGTTAGCATCAAGGTGGCATCTGAGTGTGGATATTTGATCCTGTCCACTTACTTCTTGTAAAATATGGTTCCCTGCCTCTCTCTGGAGAGTAAGTGGTGTCCTGAGGAATAAGGCCTGGCATACAGTAAGTGCAGCATAAGTGGGTGACTTGGGGGAGCTACTGAGGGTCTGGGAAGGCCTCGCACCTCCCAGAGGCAGGAGCGAGGTGCCAGCAGAGCCTGCACCTGGCCAGGACCTCCCAGTGCTGCGTGCTTGTCTGTCTCCTAATCCACCACATCGTGTTCTTCCCTGACTTCTCTCCTGTGAGACATCTGCCAGGCTCTCGGTGAATTTCAGACCCCGTGGAGGCTGAAAGCATAGAGGGAAGAGAAGCCGTGGTTTGCTGCCTGTGGATGCCCAGCCCAGCCCCTCACTCAAATGTCAAGAGTCTCTGATACAAAGAGGCTGGCACAGTGCCTGAGCAACAGCAAGTGCCTAATTAAAGTCACTGGTTTCAACCGCTACACGGTATTAGGGCTTCCTCTGCACTTGGTTGTACACAGATGGCTGTGTGTGCCCATGTGTGTTTCCCTGCACACACACACACACACACACACACGCTGGCACCAGACAGCAAGGGCTGCTCGATACTCGGGTCCCTGAGTTTAAGAAGGAATTCACGAGCAAGTCAGAGAACAGTGAACAGCCAGCAGTGAGCGTTGCCCTGAGAAAGCAGAGATGTGCACTCCACAGACTGAACGGGGCCTACCTGGAGGGGAGCTGGCCCTTCCTCTGAACTGCTTAATATCACCTGGGTCCTTCATGAACGGGGAGGTACATTCTAGCAAGCGTGTGTTAGGGTGCAGTCTAACAAGGGGAAGGAATACTCACGGTTTTCCTGGGGAGAAGGTGGGCATTCCCCGGGCACCCTTCTTGCTCTTTAGGTGGTCCCGTGTTTCCTGTCACGGCACCTGGCAGGTGTGCCATTTTGCATGCTAATGTATTACATGAGCGTATAATAAGCTGTAGGTCAATCAAGGTCAGGTTTGGCTCCCTAAACTGGTCTGAGCCTGGTTCATATGGGGGGGGGGGCAGAGGGCGGTGGGAGACAGGGGTTTGTTTATCTTCAGAGCAAGGGCAACCAAACCTGGATCCTGTGGGTCTTGAGATAACAGGGGCTACTTACTACCCCCAGGTGGCTCACCTGATTCCCTCCCTCCCCGTCTCGTTACCGCCCATGCATAGGACCGCATGTCTGAGTGCCGTGTAATTAACTATCTGTGTGTGTAGGCACACATGAGTTTGTATATATACTTAACTATGTGTATATTCATACGAATGACTGTACTTCTACGTGTGTGTGTGTGTGTGTAACAATCATGTATATTGATGTGTGTATTAGGTTAAACCAAGTGAAATTACTTTTGTCACTCAAAAACAGTTAGCTATTGGAAATTTCATATGGTTATATGAAATTATATAATCATAAGCCTACAGCTAATCACACATATAGATCTGAGCGACCATGTATCTGGACTGTGTGTGCTTCTGGGTCTGTGTGTCCCTGTACTTGTTCAGCCAGGTCCAGGGATGGTTTCCTCTCCCTCTGAGCCCACAGATCCATGGTGTATGGATCAGGAGGGTGTCTGCGTGTGCCTGAGTGTCAGTCATATGTGTGACATGTCTCTATGCATGTAACTCTGAGTGGGGACCTAGATGTGAAGGGAAGGTTAGGGAAGACGGACGAACAGAATGAGCGTGACCGCTCGGGCCCTCTCAAGCCTCGGCATACGCCAGGCTTCTATTTCCAGGCCGCACTGTGACTGTCACAGTTTTCCCCATTTGAACTGCAGACTCCCAGCCCCTCTCCCCGTCTATTCCCCAGGATTCAGCCCAAGCCCTTCCTCCCAGAACGGCTTCTTGCCCCCACCCCCTGCTTCTCCTCTGTGTCCAGGCAGCTCTATTTGGCCCACTCTTTGAGACCCAAGCACCTCTGGCCTGGGTTTGTGAGCGCAAAGCTAAACCCTGGAGCCCAGTCTCCCAAGGCCCTTCACACAACCCCACCACGCTCCCAACCTCCTGGAAGAGGGTAATCCTAGTAGCGAGGCCAACACAGACTAAACCACTTCCTCCAGCAGGGGGCAGCAATTCAATTTAAAACAACCCAGCCTACCAATGAGCTGGCTTTGAGCACTTACTCTGAGCCAAAAGCCCACACTGTGCGTGCAGCTGGCACCGGGCAGGGGGCTCAGTGGGGGAAGCGGCACAGAGACAAAGTCACAGCACTGGATCCAGCTGCCTTGGAAACTCTTGCACCTTCTGATGCTAGACTGAATGGAAGGCCTGGGACCAGCTCCATCCCTGAGGCCAAAGGGCAGCCAGAGCGGAGGGTCATGGAGGTCAGAGGGCATGAGGCTCTGGGAGTCTCAGCCCAGGCCTGCGTGCGCCAGGCATTGATTTCTTCTTCCACGATATGCCTTCTGCATGGAATCAGAAAATGGCCCCAAATCATTACAAGAATGGCGAGGGATGCTCAGGAGAGAACATTCTTTGGCCATTCAGGGGAGCACTCAAAGACAGAGTCAAATTCTGAAACCAACACGGGCAACAATGATGAGCAGGACAGACATGGCCGACCGTGGTTGTGTGACAAGGCCCCAGGGTGACAGCACCCATCACACCTGCAACACGGTGACTGTCTTTCAAACAGCCGATGAGTCCCTGGTGTTGTACACCAAATGCTGTGCTATGGACTAATGGTGAGCAAAGCAGGCAGTGTGTACCTTCACAGAGGCAGACAAACAGATGCAGAGCAAGGCGATGGGAAGATACTTTGGGGTGCCTGGGTGGGTGGGAACTGACCTAGTTAAGGTGCGGTCAGAGTAGGGTTGCAGCTGAGACCTAATGAGCTGACCACGTAGATGGGGCGTGGGAAAGAGCCCCAGGCAGAGAGCACAGGCACAGCAGAGCCCTGCCAGGGGGATGGGCCTGGAGCAGATGAGGAGCCCCTCGGAGCAAGAGTGTCGGAGGCGGGGCTAGGAAGAGGGGCAGGGCAGACCAGGCACAGCCCTGCTGGCCACAGGGGGATTCTGAACCTCACTGCTGCCTATCCTCTAAGCAAGGTGAGTCTCAAGCCAGCTCTGGGAGGAAGAAGTTCAGGTTCCCACTTCAGAGAGAGAGAGAACTGAAGCATGGCGGTCATAAACAACAACAACAACAAAAACAGCCACTCCCCTTGTGGCTGTTTGTGACAGCAAGAAGGGAGGGAGGGAGAATTCAGACCTCATTATCCTGCTGCAAGATTGGGGGCTCTTTCTTATTTTTAAAGATTTGTTTATTTTACTTGAAAGTCAGGGTTACAGAGAGGCAGAGAGAGAGAGAGAGAGGGAGAGAGAGAGAGAGAGAGCGCTCTTCCATCTGCTGGTTCATTCCCCAGATGGCCACAAAGGCTGGAGCTGGGACACTTCAGAGAGAGAGAGAACTGAAGCATGGCGGTCATAAACAACAACAACAACAAAAACAGCCACTCCCCTTGTGGCTGTTTGTGACAGCAAGAAGGGAGGGAGGGAGAATTCAGACCTCATTATCCTGCTGCAAGATTGGGGGCTCTTTCTTATTTTTAAAGATTTGTTTATTTTACTTGAAAGTCAGGGTTACAGAGAGGCAGAGAGAGAGAGAGAGAGAGAGAGAGAGAGCGCTCTTCCATCTGCTGGTTCATTCCCCAGATGGCCACAAAGGCTGGAGCTGGGCTGATCCAAAGCCAGGAGCCAGGAGCTTCTTCCGGGTCTCCTACATTGGGTGCAGAGGCCCAAAGACTTGAGCCATCTTCCACTGCTTTCCTAAGCCATGGCAGAGAGCTGGATCGGAAGTGGAGCAGCCGGGACTAGAACCGGCACCCGTATGGGATGCCGGCGCTGAAGGTGGCAACCTTACCTGCTAAGCCACAGCGCTGGCCCCTGGGGGGTTCTTTTACAGTGAAATCAGGGGCCTGCCCACCAGACGATGAGCCCTGCATCCAGTCGGTGCCTGATCAGTGCATGGATGACAGCCAGTGTCCCTCAACCATGAAGTGCTGTCACAAAGGCTGTTTCCTGCAGTGTGTCCCTCGGGTCTCGTGTAAGTACCCTGCTCCACCTCGCGGCCCACCCAAGCCCCGTGCTGCGTGGGAAGCTGGCATGGGCAGGGCTCACCCAGGCCCCTCTGTTGCAGTAAAGGCAGGAGGCTGCCCTGAGGACCGGCTGCACTGCCTGAGCCCCACGCAGCACCTGTGTCACAGCGATTCTGACTGCAAGGGCAAGAAGCGCTGCTGCCGCGCAGCCTGCGGCCGGGACTGCCGAGACCCCACCAGAGGTACAGCCGCTGTGTGCCGGGGCTGGGCGCCTGCCCTTGCCCACCCCACCTGCGGGAGTTCCCTCCAGCTCAACAGGCTTCACAGCTATAACCCAGAAGCCAGGCCCTCCCGTGAGCAGAACTGGGGAAGTCAATAGGATGGTGCAGGAGCTGGCAATCCCTGCTTCTCTTACGGGACCTGCTGTGTCACCGCGACCTCATCCCCACACTGCCCCGGGCCTCAGCTCACCCTGAGGAGGAGGGTGGGGCATTCCGCCTTGGTCTCACGGGGCCTGGCGGGGAGGGGACCCAGCCCTGCACACAGAACCCTATTATGGGAGAAGTTCACCTTTTTTTCCCTGTTTCCTCAGGCTAGTTCTGGTTCAGGAGCCACAGCTCTGCATCTCCCATGGGACTCCCGGCAGGAGGAGATGATGACGAGGGGCCGGGGACCCTCTCTGCCAGCAGCAGTGCCAATATTCTGATAACTTCTGCTGTGTCTTCCCTGCGGCCCTGCATTCTCCCTGGGCTTCAAGATCCACTGTCCGATCTCAACCAGAGGAGCTCCTCTTCATCACCCCAGTACCCCCAGCACGGACGCACCCAGCTCCCACCCTTCCTAACGCCCACTTTCCATCTCTGCACTTCCTGTGTCTCACACCGGAAACGCCCAAGTCGGGCAGGGCCCTCTGTGTGGGAGTCCTGACCCCTCCCTCGGGCAGTCCAGCCACCCGGGACCTGGGTCCCAGCAGCACAGGGTGATCAGGCACACCGCATCGGCATCTGCCTCACGCTACCTGGGCTGCTACCTGCCCCGTTTCCTTTAAGCATCCTTTGTGCATAAACACATGTATTGCAAAAGAAAACTTGATGTCACTACTACACGTTGTCACTTGCCACACATGGAATGTAATGGTGACAACAAATGTGCTGACGACAGCTCAGCCCCATTAAAATACATCGAGTCAGATTAATGCCTCTAGCTAGGCCTGCCTGCTTCTGTTTTAACAAATGGAAGTTAGCAAAGGTTAAATAGACGGGCCCAGGGCAGATCTCTAACCCAAGACTTTCTCCCCGCTGTAGTCAGAAGAAACAAGAGAGAAGAGCTTTTTACTCCAAGGGTCAGTGCTGTGTAATGCTGCAGCCACGTACACACTAAGATCACTTCAAACTGCCCCCGACTGGGGGACACGCTGCCAGGGTGGGTGGGATATCGTCAGGACAGCGGCTCCGTCCCCATTGCTGGCCGACACCTCCCTGGGCTCCGCGTCTCCAGGGCCAGGTCTGTTGTCAGAACCTAATGAGGTCGGCGCCACAGCTCACTAGGCTAATCCTCTGCCTGCGGCGCCGGCACCCCGGGTTCTAGTCCTGGTTGGGGCGCCAGATTCTGTCCGGGTTGCCCCTCTTCCAGGCCAGCTCTCTGCTGTGGCCAGGGAGTGCAGTGGAGGATGGCCCAAGTGCTTGGGCCCTGCACCCCATGGGAGACCAGGAGAAGCACCTGGCTCCTGGCTTTGGATCGGCACAGTGCACCAGCCGCAGCGGCCATTGAGGAGTGAACTAATGGAAAAAGGAAGACCTTTCTCTCTCTCTCTCTCTCACTGTCCACTCTGCCTGTCAAAACAAAACAAAACAAAAACGTAATGAGGGGAAGAGATGTGCAATTTGGGACATGCTCAAGCTGACTTACTCAAACGGTAGAGTTAGAAACATATCAGGGGATTCCAATTCAATCCCATCAAAGTGGCATGTACCAATGCCATCTCACTAGTCCCAGTGATCAATTTCTGTTCACAATTGATCATAATGATAGGACTAAGAACCAAAGGGATCATAAAAACAGGAATAGGGCTGGCGCCGCGGCTCACTAGGCTAATCCTCCGCCTAGCGGCGCCGGCACACCGGGTTCTAGTCCCGGATGGGGCGCCGGATTCTGTCCCGGTTGCCCCTCTTCCAGGCCAGCTCTCTGCTGTGGCCAGGGAGTGCAGTGGAGGACGGCCCAGGTGCTTGGGCCCTGCACCCCATGGGAGACCAGGAGAAGTTCCTGGCTCCTGCCATCGGATCAGCGCGGTGCGCCAGCCATTGGAGGGTGAACCAACGGCAAAGGAAGACCTTTCTCTCTGTCTCTCTCTCTCACTGTCCACTCTGCCTGTCAAAAAATAAAAATAAAAATAAAAATAAAAATAAAAATAAAAAAGTCTTCATCTGTTAAAAAAAAAAAAACAGGAATAGTGTCTGCAAATACTAGCTGATATAACAAAAAAGGGAGAGAACGATCCAACATGGGAAGTGAGATACACAGCAGACCCATAGAATGGCAGTTGTCCTAAACAGCACTCTGGCCTCAGAATCAGCCCTTAAGGCATGCAGATCCGGCTGAAAAGCCCATGAGAGTATTTCAGGCATGGAAAGCCAAGACACTCTGGGGGAAAAAAAAAACCTAAATGAAAGATCTCCACGAGTGAGGTCCCAGTGGAAAGAATGGGTCATCAAAGAAGGAGGTACCTTTCTCTGAAGGCAGGAGAGAACTTCCACTTTGACCATGGCCTTGTCTAAATATGATCAGAGTCGGTGAACTCAGGGGGCTTCCATAGCCTTGGCAGCTCATGACAAGAGCCTAGGGTGATTACTGAGGCCATAAACAAGAGTGTCAATTTGTTAAGTAAACAACAGGAGTCACTGTGCACTTACTCCTCATGTAGGATCTTGTC